GAAGTTCGACAACTTCCAATAACACCAAAGGCCTTATCAAATAAACTTGCCCAGCTGGGGAAAAACAGAACATTCTTCAAAAGAAAATATTTGGAAACCCTAGCTGGTGGTTCCAACAGTGTATGATTTCACTCGATTCCAATCTCAAAATCAAGTCAAATTTTTATGCTCCACACATTTTTACTGATTATTACATCAAACAAATGTGTTTTTGCTGTACAAATGATAAAAAAGCAAAGCGATTTGCTAATCTTTTTATGCGAGCTACCGGTATGAACATTTTCCCAGCTGGGCCATCAGCCTGGGGGTTTGGTCAGTATCAAATCAGGGCATAAATGATTATAGTGCGCATGCGCAAGGTACATGTATACCGCCCCTAGAGTGGTAACAAGCATTTTGATGGACATTTTGAATAAAAATGGAGATAACACCCAAAAAGCTGCCACCGCTGCAATGCTATCACATATTTTCCAACTCTGGAGGTGTATACCTTGCCCAAAATCGCTAGATGACCATTATTCCCCTCATTTGATACCAGTGGCCAAAATTTTGGTTGAGGCTGATGGCCTAGGCCTAAGCCACATTTGGTCTCGTAGCTTCAAGTGACCAAAATTTGAACAAACAATTCTCAGAAACAACTTATTGGTAACCGAATGCGATCCATCCGTTTCATGTAATACATCAAGACAAAAAATCTATCCAAGAGTCAAGAATGCTACCGGTATTTAACTGCAGAATTAATGTGTTTCCTTTTGGGGTCCACTGCAATCAATTACCGGGACTTTTCCAGGAAAATTTGTTTGGGGTGAGGTGATACTTTCTGGGGGTATTATATGTAAATTATCTAATCCTGGTCTTTTAATGGGGTGAGAATGAAAGCCCACTTGTGGTTTTAGGCAGTAATGGCCTTGCAATGTGAGGAGTGATAGAGGCAAACAGACTGCAATGATGCCTTTACCAGGAAGTTAAAAGATTTATAGGATCAATTGTTCTTTGTGCATTTTTTTTTTTGTCTGAAGCAACAAAATTGCTCAAACATTTGTTTTGCTGTAATTTTCAGAAATGGACGGATTTGGGGGTTAGTGTTTTAAAGCAAATATTGTTACATGTACACTGACTTGTTTGAAGGTTTCTGTTCGTACATGCTGGAAAAACCAAGAAAAACAATCATGTTCTTGTAAAGTCTGGTTCCCTGACCGGGCCCATTTAAGATAAAACGGAGCAATTTATAGATGTCGGGCCAGTGAAAGGTCAGGGAACCAGTATAGCTGGCTTGTACCCGATCATAGGTATTGCAAACAAAATGTGGACTACCGGTAGCTACCGGTACATGTAAATATGGTAAATTGGGAGCAATATTTGAAAAAAACTCAGTATTGGAAATTGATACAAAAATACCACTTTTCTTGAAAATGTCAGTACAAAAAAGCCAGTTTTTTTCCAATGCTGGTTAGCCGACCTGACCAGCATTGGAAATTGAAACAAAAATTCCACTTTTCTTGAAAATGTCAGCACACCAGGTGCCATGATTTTACAGGATGCTTTCACTAACATTCACTAACATTTCATGATAATTTGGTAGTTTTGTTTTTTGATGTTTGCAAATGTTGTAGCGGTACATTCCCTTTAAGAAGGGTGCATAACAAAACCTGTTGAGGTCTAAGTAGCTCATGAGAAAAACAGAAAACAGATTTTGGGTCTGACTCGTACCATGATACACTGTAACTGGATCTATTGCTAATGCACGTAAAAAACAAATACACGCAAAAAAGCGGGCCCACAGGCACACTTTTTTTAAACCACCTGCGCGATTGTATTCTACCGAACGATACCATTTTATTTTATTCAAAAATAAAATTTGTGGATTGTACCGGTATTTAAGCTTAAGTCTGTACTTCAACAATGTACGTACCGGTACCTACCGGTACATGTACACGTATAGATGTAGGTAATATGTGTGCCACACTTCAAAAGAATGTCTGATCATTAGATTTAGGTGTTATTTTTCCCATAAGTTTTGAAAAGGGGCCCCCTAAAAACCCTCTCTTTTTCAAGTCCCGTTTATTTTCACCTGAATGGCAGCTTGGTCCGCAGAACCACGGAAAGAAAAACTTTGTTTTTTTTCTTCCGCAAGTTCTGTAACTCTATCTTTCGGTAAGCAGTAAAGTCAATATTATTCATCAGTGGTTTTCTTCACCATCCCGATGACTGGTCCGATTTTTTTAGATTGACATTTCTGACGTGTTTTCTTAGCCCAGATTCCGACAAATGTGTCGACGCGGAGTATTTATTGAAGGGAAAAAAAGAGCTTCGTATTCGTCAGAGTTTATTTGTGTTTGTTCTGGCTTGCTTGAATGCGTGTGCGGTTTTAATTATAAGCATTGTAAAAATTAGTGCAATGAAAAATGTAGGCCTATGTAATTTTGAAGGGCAGGAATTTGTAAAATCTTGTTGTTGACAGATATTGGACGGTGCAAGCAGTTTGGCTACTTAAATTAAAACCCTGGCCCATTTGTTTGATCAGTCACAGACAGTCAAAACTTCAATCCTGTTCCCCTGCCATGTCTTTTACACAGGCTAGTCACCAACAGTCAGATCATATTTCTTGTAGGCACTGCGACTAGTCCAATTCAGTCAACAGACAAAAGCAGGCAAGAAGTAGGCACAGCTGGCTTATCAATCACCTACAGTCAAAGCATAGCTGTATCAAGTCACATTTATAAACAGTCACAGCCAGTCAATCCTGCTCTATGTACATGTAGGCTGGGAGCTCTTAACTGTTGAAAACAGTCACTTTAGGCCTATTGATTTTGACTGAAAGGACAACTTGGCGCAGAATCTACTACATGTATGTTTGCAAAGGAGGGTTTTAAACAGCAACAAAACTGTAATTTCATCGTGCTTTTTATATTTTTTTCTATAATTTACATTTTCTATGTTAAATGTTGCCCTTAACTCTAACTCATTTTTGCTAGGATGCAACCTCAATCCTGCAAAATCCTCCAACTGCCTCCATGTCAAAATTGCATACAGCCTCAATCCTCCTGCAAAATCCTCCATTTTGCGGAGAGGATTTTGGAGGATTTAGGAAAGTTAGGGTTAAAGACCTGTACATTTTTGTTACAAAAATTGTATACCGCCCATAAACCAGACACCAACTTTGACAGTTCGGCAGTAATAACAAATATAGGCCTACAGTTTCAGTTCTGAGACAATTTTGTTGAGTACAAAACTTTGAGCAAAGCAGCTGAATTCTTTCCTAAAAATCACAAAAATACATGCAAGCCCTGTACCTCTGAACTCCCACGGACACAAACTTGAAGCCACCAGACAAAAGAAATACCAGCTGTCGGAAATAATTACCGTCCTCAAAAACATCGGACCGATATAGTCACGATATAGTCACGAACGAACATTCCCAGTCGATGTACTCTTGTGAAGCACGGAGAGTGCACCCTGCAAAGCAGTCGCCTTAACTAGCTCGAATTCCTGACCTTAAATACCCTTCAAATTTGGCACAAATGAAGAAAAATTATGCTGCCAAGGCCGAACAAGTTTGGCATATGTTGCTGTCTAGTCATATCTTTCCCACAGAGAAGGGAAAAAAACAGCAACACATGTGTACAGGGCAACAAGGAAATTGTGTTCAAATGCCTGGCAATGATTTGAATTGGATCACATTTCTAAGGAAACAAATCATTTTAATGTGGTAATGGTTGGGCGAGTTTGATCCAACATCGGACTGAACGTAATCCCTAGTCTGGCTCCCAGACCAAAAGATTCTGACTACTCCTGATAAATCTTAGGTAAGGTGGCCGCTAGCACTGCGCGCACTAGTATAATACGTCAAAAGTTTCGGAAAAAAGAAGAAATGCTTCCTTTTTCCGAAAATGACCGAAGTTTGCCGAAAGTATTTCGTCGATATCTCAGATAGAGCCCAGGTATTTATGGGTACAAAATAAGTTTTATTTTTTATTGAAAATTTAAAAACTAAGTTGATAATTAATATTCATAAATCGCATCAAGAAACTTAAAATTCAATGACGATTTTGTGCATCAATTATGCACTAGGATCTTATGAGGAGGGGCGAGCTTTGCTGCGTATTTCAATCTGGCGATGGTTACCGGGATTTTCCAAAACTCGGCATAGTCTCCATTTTGGCTTCGCCTGCTAAGATGATATTTGGGTCCCTAACTTTTAAGATAACAGGCCAACATTCATCAATGTTTTCTTAGAGAAATATCAAACTATAGGCCTATGACATATGAAGCAGGTAATGTTTTTGAAAAATTTGATCGGAACATCAAAAGCTATAAGAGATTAAGCGAATTCGGAACTAGGCAGAGCTTTGAAAAAGGGCCGTCAATGTCGTCATGTTTATTTTTAGCCATGGAGGTTGCCTGACCTACAATTTAGACATCTGATGGGCGTCGGGTGAAATTGTCAGGTCAGGGAACCAGACTACGTAATCCCAAAAGTGGTCAATTGCTGTGGGACTTTCTTAATTCACAGTAAGCAGTGAGCAAGATCCTTTTTGTTTTAACTGTTAAAAAAAACCCAGAAGTCGAAGCGTCTCATGTTTCTACTTTCTAAAAATGGTTTAACAATGGTTTGAATATCAAGTTTGCTAAATTTGTTATTAAAAACACAATTTTTGCCTGAACGACACAAAGCAACAGGCACTATTTTTTTATTATAAAAAATTACCTTCAAGGAGGGGCTTCAATCATGAATTTTTTGAAGCTCTAAAAGTACATGGAACCGATTTTGGAAAATTCATCTGCATACTTTTTTAGAATTACTTATAAATTTAAGAATCTTGGGGGAATTTTAAGGGAATTGTTTTTAAAAACTTTGTTTAATTTTTAGACACTAATTACTAAAGAATTCAATTTTACAGAAGGGGTGGGTATGCAGGGCTAGACGGTGTTTTTAGGGGGGTTAACCTAAACTTTCTCTGGCCATGGCTAAAACCAAAACAAAAGTGAAGAAAACTTACCAGTCTGTAGGCAAGAACCCCTACTGTGCGAGACCGTGCAGCCAAGCAGACTACCAGCAGGCACCAGACCGACGTGACAGTAAGAACGTTAATCAAGACACATTATCCCCGCCGGCAGTAGTAAATCTCTCCCTTGCCTGGCTAGGTGTCGTTGAACCAAGAGAGCTCTAATTAACGCATCCTTGTGATTGACAGCTTTGTTGTCTCCTTTCGTATCATCATTATTGATTTTTTTTTCCGCCGGCGATGGTGATGCTACACGCACTCGAGTTTCTGCGGGTTATTCAAGGTTTTAAGATTTCCCGCTCCGGGTGAAAGGAAGATTTTTCTTTGCTTTGAGAACTGGCCTGGGGGAATGTCTGGCATCCGTCTCCTGTGAAGATGAGAAGAAGATTAAATTTGAGATTGAGATTAATCGGGGAAAATTTCTAACCAGTTCTTTGCAAAAGCTTCTGGTGAAACTTTATAAAGTAAGGTGAAAAAAATAATAATTGTACGTTTTCAAGAATGCGATTGAAAATTGATTCACGTCATTGTGGCGGACAAAATCGGAGATTTCAAAATCTGATTATCCTAATTTTTTTCACACCGAATAACGGTTATCCCATTCACCGGAAGTTCCCTTTCAGTTCACAGTCATGCCAGCAAAAAACTGACTGAGGTGCCACATGGAATGCCCTCCCAATGACTGGGTATAGTTTGCAGGATTTAGTGACCACTGGGCCTTTGACAAAAACACTCCAGAGCTGTTATGTTGGGAAAAATTGGGTGGAAACTCTCTGATCGGGCGAATAGCCCAGCTATTCCTGAACCAAGACGACCGCTATAGCAAGTGAATGCAGTTACAATCAGAGACCATAGAACAAATTGGGGGATGTTCCAGAATTTTCCAGTTGTTTTCTTTAGCTTTTGCCACAAAAAATGGAAGGCCTAATTTTTTTAAACTAATTTGCTTCTGAATATCCAGTCTCCAAAATCTAAACCAAATAATGGCATTCAAACTGAATGTCATAAAAATCCAGATTTTAATCCCACCACTAATTCGCTCTTCCTCAATCCTACAAAATCCGAAGAAATTCACAAAAAAATGGAAGGTTTAATTTTTTTTCAGGTTGCTTTCGAATGTCCGGTTTCCAAAATCTAAACCAAATAATGGCATTCAAAACAAATTTTTAAAAATCCAGATTTTAACAACACCACTGATTCGCTCTTCCTCAATCCTACAAAATCCTAAGAAAATCACAAAAAAATGGAAGGTTTAATCTTTTTCAGGTTGCTTTCGAATATCCGGTTTCCAAGATCTTAACCAAGTAGTGGAGTTCTAAAAAAAACTCTGTGGATTTTTATCCTACCCCTAATTCGCTCTTCCTCAATCCTACAAAATCTTAAGAAATTCACTGCTGTGTGTAAAACAATACAGACTCTTTAGCCTTTCACACTAACATTCTGAATTGAATGAAGATAGTGTTAAAAGCCATACAGATTTCAACAGAGTACAAATCTTGCTCACAAACCTCACTCTACTACTAGCACACAGTTCCCGACTCAAACACAATCCACCAACCGCTCTCTCAAATGCCCACTTGTCTGCCCAGCAACTGAAGAACAACTTGAACCTTTTACACTACCAAGGTCGAGATCGGCACTTCACTCAATGGCCTGCCAGTTGCCTGACTGAGACAGGTTCCACAAAAGCAGGCACACCGGGAGACGTAAATGCACTTTTTGATGTGTATCCAAGGACTTGTTACTGTCTGTGTGGCTGTTTTGCGTCCTTGAAAATGTCTGGTTAACATTTACACACGCATTGTAGACATGTATGCTGCATTGTGGGGTTCCCACAGTACATGTGTACATAGACCTTCCTCCATGTACTGAGGATTGTGCAAAATGTGCAGTGATAAGCAGGACTTCACAGTGATAAGGAAAGCGTCTGATTGGTCAGGAGAGATGACAACATGGCCATAGTTGTTTCTGATTGGCTGGTGGATGTAGAGTGGAAGTTTCCTTGTGATAAGGAAGATGTTTGATTGGTTTGGAGAGATGATATCATGGCCATGACTGTTTCTGATTTGATAGTGGATGTGAAGTGAAGTAGCCTGTCATAAGGAAGGTGTTTGATTGGTCAGAAGTGATGACATCACGGCTATGGCTATTTCTGATTGGATGGTGGAAGTAGAGTGAAGTACAAATGTAGCCTTGTAATAAGGAAGGTGTTTAATTGATTCGTCAGAAGAGATGACATCACAGCCATAGTTGTTTCTGATTGATTGGTGGGTGTAGAGTGGATGTATTCCTTGTCATGACAAAGGCATTTGATTGGTCAGGAGATATGACATCATAGGCATGGCTGTTTCTGATTGGATGGTGGATGTACATGTACAGTGAAGTAGCATTGTCATAAGGAAAGAATTGATTGGTCAGGAAGGATGACATCACGGCCATGGCTGCTTCTGATTGGTAGGTACAAAATGTACAATAGATAGAGAGGAAGTACAGTTGGATCCTTGTCCTAAGAAAGGCATTTGATTGGTCAGGAGAGATGACATCATAGCCATGGCTGCTTCTGATTGGCTGGTGGATGTAGAATGGAACTTTCCTTATCATAAGGCATTTGATTGGTCAGAAGAAATGACATCATAGCCAGGGCCTTTCCGATTGGATGCTGCATGAAAAGTGGAAGTATCCCTGTTTTCATGGAAGTTTAAAATACAAGTTGTAGTTTTACGGGTTAGACCTCAAAGTTTGTACTTCAAATTTGGCAGGAAATTCCATAAAACAGAAATTGGACATGTAACATGAATTCAGCATGAAAACAGTTAGAGGAAATAAGAAATTCGAAGCAGTAAAAAATGTTAGTTGTAGATTTGTAAATTTCATGAAATCATTTCTGAATAATAACCTTTCTGTTTCTGTTTCCATTTTTTAATTCATAATGTCCTAAATTACTGTTGAAATTAATGCAATTAAAGTATTATATTCATTTTTTAGTCTTTCTGCAGCTTGTAAGGGAACAAGTGCATTGGGTGCTAACACGCCATACTGCAAATGACGCATAATTTACCAAAATGAGAAAAAAAATCACCTGGAAGGGTAAATGTATGCACTTTCTCCGACCAAAAATATTAAGAAAAGTAAAATCTAAAAGCAGGTAATTTCATCAGCAGGGGGAGACTGTGGCTTGGAGCGTTATGAGAATCCTACACAATGGGCAAAAACCAATACGTCTGGCATGCATAAGTTCACCTCAAGCAAACTGTGAATCACGCTGGTTCGGAAATAAAACGCCAAATTAAACTCTCCTGTCGTCCAAGTCACATATATTCTTCTATTTTTTTCTTGAGAATGCATCAATCAACCTATATTTCTTTTTTGGTTTTTGTCTTGTGGTCTGGGGCAAATTTTTTTTACACTTAAATAATTTCTGCTCAGGGAAAATATTGCATCACAGTCACGTCCCTATCAGATTTTGTGGAGGAACATTCGTCTGGTTCTCAATATACGTGTATGTGATGCGATCAAGCTAAATGAGTCGTTTGTCGACCCTGGTCAAAAACATTTTTATTACAGATTTGGAAAGAGCACAATCTCAGCATGACTGCTGTGAAAACCGCATGCTGATACCATCTTTAGTTCAAAAATTATGGAAGTCGGAACACCAAGAGATGTGATGAAGTGATGTGATGAAGTGGCCCTATTTTGGCCTGTACATGATCTCCAAATGAAAACTCCCGACAAACAACTCATGTACCGGTAGCTTGATTGCATCACATACATGTATTTCCTATATATATGCAAGATGTTTCATGACATTTTTCACCCATTTCTTCACTAATCGCAAACCAAGAATTGACGTCAACCACAGCAGAAACATCGTAATTCAGTGCTTTAAGTGGAAAAATGTGTATTTCTTGTCTTATTCCCATGAAATATAAACCTTAACAAGACAGCAATTCAAAAATTAGAATAAATCTGGCCTTTTTTCCAAGAGCATCCCATCAACACTAACAATTATCTAGATTTTAGTGAGAATTTGAAAAAAGGCAGACCACATTTAACCCTCCAACGCAAACATAGATTCTGTGCCAAGTTATCCTTTCAGTCAAAATCAATCAAGTGACTGTTTTCAACAGTTAAGAGCTCCCAGCCCACATAAAGCAGGATTGACTGGCTGTGACTGTTTGTAACTTGATACAGCTAGGCTTTGACTGTAGGTGACTGATAAGCCAGCTGTGCCTACCACTTGCCTGCTTTTGTCTGTTGACTGCATTTGACTAGTCATAGTGCTTCATTGTATGAAATATGATCTGACTGTTGGTTACTAGCCTGTGTAAAAGGCATTGCAGGGGAAAGGATTGAATTTTTGACTGTCTGTGACTGTTCAGACATAGGGTTAATGCATATTTGTCTGAACTGGTTGACTACATGTATGTGATCATTTTCTTTAAATTTTAGTACAATGTGTGACATATAAAACTGAGCATTCAAATGCCAAACCAAGGCATTCAAATTTCAACCATGGTGTTCAACTTCAAAACACAGCTCGCCCAGAAGGTAGACAGACACCCTCCGGCAAAAAAAAAAAAAAAACATGACCAGAACTGGACTGGGCCCAAGAAACACTCATTTCTTGTCTCGTTGAGAGAGAGATTCCAGATGCTTGGGGATGACCCCACCTTCTCCCTAGGCCCCGCCCCTCAAACAGTTCCTTCCTTAACAACCCGACAGGGGGAAGGTGCTCCATCAACAGCGAAAAAAAAGAGTCTGTCGTTCCGAATGTTTCTGGTTTGAAGTTGATTGTTCCCAGTCCCCGCATTGTTCTTTCCACGTGTTGCCCTTCGTAAATCTGTCTGCCGGTTGGCGGGCGATTTTCATTTTATTCTTCTGGACAGTTGCGAATGTTGAATGAATGATTGTTAGTCCTGTTTTCCAATTCCAATGGGGAAAGAGCGCTCCATCAATGAGGACAAAGGCTGACTTTTATAGTTCCTCTTTTCAACTGTTTCCGGTTTGAAGCATATTGTTAGCACATTGTCTTTAGAACCATGTCACTCTCTTGACCCTAACTCCCTAGGCATTTTTGCTAGGATGCAACCTCCAACTGCCTCCATGTAAAATTGCATTCAGCCTCAATCCTTCGAGGTCGTCCCTTATTTCTTGAGAGGGGTTCTTGGAGGGGTGACCACTGCCTCAATCCTGCAAAATCCTCCAGCAATCACTGTCAATATGTTGAGGCAGAGCCTGTGACGTCCTGGAACAGCGCGGAGGATTTCTAGAATAATTTTATGCCCAGCTGAGCATAAACAACACAAGGTCCGGCCCAAGACCTTGACACAGTGCATCCTCCAAAATCAGCCACACATTTTTTTGCCA